AGTATGGGTCCATCTAGTTCATCTTATACACTACAAGTGAGTTTCCACAATGTGGAGTCACAGAGGTACATTTCGGACTCCTTACCTCTTCCGGTTCCCAAATTAGGTCCATTTGATGTTCCTCCCTTGGATTGAGACCGTTTCACTCATGTTTGTCCTCATAGTCATGTGTAGAACCTATTAATCCATGTTTGGGTAAGTATGGGTCCATCTAGTTCATCTTATACACTACAAGTGAGTTTCCACAATGTGGAGTCACAGAGGTACATTTCGGACTCCTTACCTCTTCCGGTTCCCAAATTAGGTCCATTTGATGTTCCTCCCTTGGATTGAGACCGTTTCACTCATGTTTGTCCTCATAGTCATGTGTAGAACCTATTAATCCATGTTTGGGTAAGTATGGGTCCATCTAGTTCATCTTATACACTACAAGTGAGTTTCCACAATGTGGAGTCACAGAGGTACATTTCGGACTCCTTACCTCTTCCGGTTCCCAAATTAGGTCCATTTGATGTTCCTCCCTTGGATTGAGACCGTTTCACTCATGTTTGTCCTCATAGTCATGTGTAGAACCTATTAATCCATGTTTGGGTAAGTATGGGTCCATCTAGTTCATCTTATACACTACAAGTGAGTTTCCACAATGTGGAGTCACAGAGGTACATTTCGGACTCCTTACCTCTTCCGGTTCCCAAATTAGGTCCATTTGATGTTCCTCCCTTGGATTGAGACCGTTTCACTCATGTTTGTCCTCATAGTCATGTGTAGAACCTATTAATCCATGTTTGGGTAAGTATGGGTCCATCTAGTTCATCTTATACACTACAAGTGAGTTTCCACAATGTGGAGTCACAGAGGTACATTTCGGACTCCTTACCTCTTCCGGTTCCCAAATTAGGTCCATTTGATGTTCCTCCCTTGGATTGAGACCGTTTCACTCATGTTTGTCCTCATAGTCATGTGTAGAACCTATTAATCCATGTTTGGGTAAGTATGGGTCCATCTAGTTCATCTTATACACTACAAGTGAGTTTCCACAATGTGGAGTCACAGAGGTACATTTCGGACTCCTTACCTCTTCCGGTTCCCAAATTAGGTCCATTTGATGTTCCTCCCTTGGATTGAGACCGTTTCACTCATGTTTGTCCTCATAGTCATGTGTAGAACCTATTAATCCATGTTTGGGTAAGTATGGGTCCATCTAGTTCATCTTATACACTACAAGTGAGTTTCCACAATGTGGAGTCACAGAGGTACATTTCGGACTCCTTACCTCTTCCGGTTCCCAAATTAGGTCCATTTGATGTTCCTCCCTTGGATTGAGACCGTTTCACTCATGTTTGTCCTCATAGTCATGTGTAGAACCTATTAATCCATGTTTGGGTAAGTATGGGTCCATCTAGTTCATCTTATACACTACAAGTGAGTTTCCACAATGTGGAGTCACAGAGGTACATTTCGGACTCCTTACCTCTTCCGGTTCCCAAATTAGGTCCATTTGATGTTCCTCCCTTGGATTGAGACCGTTTCACTCATGTTTGTCCTCATAGTCATGTGTAGAACCTATTAATCCATGTTTGGATAAGTATGGGTCCATCTAGTTCATCTTATACACTACAAGTGAGTTTCCACAATGTGGAGTCACAGAGGTACATTTCGGACTCCTTACCTCTTCCGGTTCCCAAATTAGGTCCATTTGATGTTCCTCCCTTGGATTGAGACCGTTTCACTCATGTTTGTCCTCATAGTCATGTGTAGAACCTATTAATCCATGTTTGGGTAAGTATGGGTCCATCTAGTTCATCTTATACACTACAAGTGAGTTTCCACAATGTGGAGTCACAGAGGTACATTTCGGACTCCTTACCTCTTCCGGTTCCCAAATTAGGTCCATTTGATGTTCCTCCCTTGGATTGAGACCGTTTCACTCATGTTTGTCCTCATAGTCATGTGTAGAACCTATTAATCCATGTTTGGGTAAGTATGGGTCCATCTAGTTCATCTTATACACTACAAGTGAGTTTCCACAATGTGGAGTCACAGAGGTACATTTCGGACTCCTTACCTCTTCCGGTTCCCAAATTAGGTCCATTTGATGTTCCTCCCTTGGATTGAGACCGTTTCACTCATGTTTGTCCTCATAGTCATGTGTAGAACCTATTAATCCATGTTTGGATAAGTATGGGTCCATCTAGTTCATCTTATACACTACAAGTGAGTTTCCACAATGTGGAGTCACAGAGGTACATTTCGGACTCCTTACCTCTTCCGGTTCCCAAATTAGGTCCATTTGATGTTCCTCCCTTGGATTGAGACCGTTTCACTCATGTTTGTCCTCATAGTCATGTGTAGAACCTATTAATCCATGTTTGGATAAGTATGGGTCCATCTAGTTCATCTTATACACTACAAGTGAGTTTCCACAATGTGGAGTCACAGAGGTACATTTCGGACTCCTTACCTCTTCCGGTTCCCAAATTAGGTCCATTTGATGTTCCTC